CCCCCCCCCCCCCCCCCAAAAAAAAAATGACAGAAGCTAAGGCGTGCAGACAGAATAGTCTGTATGGGACATGATGCATAACCATGCGGCGCTGCTGTCGGACAAGATTTGGCCAGGTGGTGAAAGGCACCTCCTGATTCATCCGTCATGCATCTATTCATCTATATATCTGTTAACTAAAATAACTAAGTATCTAGATGAAGTCCCAGCTCTTCACTTGGATGCCTTCCGCTGTCTTCCTTTGCATTTCCTTGCCAAGAAAATTGTGCCCCACACACTTGCGCTTTATTGTGTTCCGTTATATTTCAAAAGAGCATCACCTTGAACCGAAGCAAAGTGCCAGCAAACCCGTATGGCGTGAACGACGGAGACCCATTGCAGCATAAGCGCCATGTGACTAAGGTTTCCGTTGCACACCGGAAAATCTCAAAGGGAATTTATTGTTTCTTTTTGAAGTTATGACCGAGTTGGAAGTGAGCCTGGCCCTTTGACTAAGTTGTTGGAATTTAAAGTGATGCTTTACGCACCGTTCTGTCTCCTATATCAACTCTTTGTTACCTTGCGCTGTTTCACGTTTATTCAGCAAACTCACAACCTCAAAGCGTTATTATTTTGCTGAACGACAGGGTGTGGCAAGTATCATTAAATTCACGTTGCTAAAAAAAAAAAAGAAGAAAGCGAGGGTTTATATTTTTTACATTTTAGTGTTTTTGTTCTTTTAGTCTATTTGTTAACTCTTCCAACGCGCTCTCTGCTTTCTATTTCTATAACAGAACACATAAAGGCTCGAGCTGCTTACGCACAACCGGTGCACCACGTAATCAAGGCTACGTGTCCCGCACCGGATACGTGTTCATTAAGGGAAGCACAGTGTCGCTTCAGAAATATCATTTACAACTGGTTCAATATGATAACCGAGGTTGAGAAATCATCAAAAAAGTGGTGCGCTACGACAAAAAAAAAAAAAAAAAAATGTATTACGTTCTTTCGAGAGACAAAGTGAATTATGGGAGTTCAGTAACACCGCTGCGCTTTTTATTTCTCCGCTCTAGTAACGACGGCGACTCTCTTCTTTTACGCAATCAAGTAAACACTTATAGCCGCCGAGTCTCGATCATTTACTCGAAAGAAAATGACGGAGTCGAAAGAATAATTTGAATCACCTTGTAACTAAGCTATCAACTATTATCTGCCGCACAAATTTAGCTAGCACTCTCACCCCCCCCCCCCCCCTCACCCCCAAATAATAAAAAAAAGTCTACTTCGGAAGAGGCCTGCCGAAACCAAATTTTAGGTGACCACGTCGTCCGTACACAAATGGAACACAAGCACTAGGAGACCCAGGCACACGGACATGGTATACGAGCAAACAAAAAACAGCAACGAACAACATCAACTTCGAAGAAAAAATAATAAAATTAAAGTGAACATAGACCAAGAAAGGAGGACGGCGGGCCCCCCAAATTACTTCTGACCCCTCCATGGCGAGAAAGAAAGAGAAAGAGAGCCCAATGCATAAGAAACTGTGAGCAACCAAAGCGATCGAGCCACCGCAGAGCGGCGCTACGGGACAGATCATCATTTCATACGCTTTATCGACTCTGCTAAATTGAGCCTAAGAGCCCTCTCTTTTCACTTCCCTCTTCCCCCCTTCACATCCATCTCTCCCTTATCCACCATAAAGTGAAGACCTTAGGAGGTACCAGCACCACCACGCACACGGCTATCTCCCTTAGAGATAGACATACCAGGAGGAGGGGGGCAACTGGCTTCAGGGAGAATAGGAGGGGGGCAAGTGGTGGAAAGCGGGTGGGAGAGGGACATCACCGCTGTGTGTGGGCATCCGAAGCATGCGGCAAGTGAGAAAACCATCGCCTGGTCGCTCCTGTTATTCGCGCCCCGTGTAACAGCATTGAGACATCATCCCTTTTGGCGGAGGATAGATGCCCCGCTGTGTGCTCGCCGCCGAAAGCACCGCCGCGCCTACAGCGAGGTCTGTGGTCCCTGTAAGCGTACTCTTTCGTTTTTTTTTTTACTTCTTGGAAAAGTGGACAAAGGATGTCTTCTTTCGAAAGGTTTTCTGTTTTGTTGTTCGGAGGATGGGGGACTTGGAGCAGGGGGAGACCGCATAATGACGGCGATGATCGTCTGTCGTGGTCCTGCAGTAGGGCAAGAAGAATGGATGACAAGACCCTTGTGTCCATTCTTTGAGACATGTCTCCGTGTCCTTTTGTGTCCTAACCTCGTATCCTTCTTACCTTCTTCGAAGATGTTTCCGTTTGCTCACCTTTGTCTTTGTCCCTCCTTACGAAGGTAACATGTCTTTGACATGCTCACGTGTCTTTGGCATGCTCATGTTGTGGCGATTCGACCTTCATGTAAAGCCTAAGTTAATCGTTACCAAGCATGGCCTTGAACAGGTTTTGCCTTGTCGCCCTTGTTGGTTCCATAAAGGTTTGGTAAGAACGTTTTCAATATAAACATCAAATTGCAAAATATTTTGTTTGATTGCCGCTGACGCTGGTAGTCGAGCATAGCTTCCTAGTGTATGTATCAGAAGGCACCATGGGGGTGGCGGAGCTCTTTCTTTTCATATATTTACATACTTTTTTTAATAGTAAACATTTACATGTATATATAGCAACGCCACTGTGCTTTCCTTGTGTTTTCGGAAGCTTGATATTAAGTCGTGACTACTGCCCCAGGCTGTGGTCTCACAGCGAAATCGAGACCTGGACAATTGAAAAGCGCTTTCAGTTTTAAACAATTTCAAACTGGGTAATCGGTTTGGTCAGTAAAAACAAAGTAAAATAACGAAACACAAACGTTTCATGCAATTTAAAGTAACGACTGAGCAGCCGAAAAACTACACACTCTGTGATTAAGAAGTCAAGAAAGAGCCCAAAGTCACAAGACCCCAGAACACGTAAGCAAACACGTTTCTTTCTCCGCTTAGAGGCAAGCCCACTATCGGCAGCAAAAGCTCACAAAAGAAGAAGACAGCACCGACACACACGTCGACTCTCCCTCTCTTCCCTCTCCCCCAAGACAGACTTAAAAGGAGGAGGAGGCAGAGGGAAAGAGCAATTGGAGAGAGATAAACAGCACTTCTTCGTCGGAGCATCAGGAGGACTCACGTCCGAGGCCTTTGCTATCGGTAATTTCCAACGCCTTCAACGCAAGACCGACACCTATGCTTCTTCCACTACCACCTCTCGGGCCACTTCACCTTTCATTTTTTGTTTCGTTCTTGATTCGGTCTCCCGGACGCCTTGTGTGGCCGACGAGTTTCGTCCCCCCCTCCCCCCCCCCCCTCCCTTTTCCTCATCCATGCAAGTTACGCCTCTCAAGTAGCAATCGCTACTCGCTCACAAAGAACACCCGCAACAACAACAAAAAGAAAACCTATACGGACAACAGACAAAAAGTAGAGGCCCGGAAGAAGCAAGCAACAACACCAACACTTCTCTCGCTTTAGTTCCTGTTCCAGTGGTGGTGGTGGTGGCGGTAGGGGAAAGAGAACACTAATAAATTTTCTTAGTGCTCCCCCCCCCCCCCCCCCCCTTCTCGGTCTGCATGCGCGGTACAAGGGGGTTATTAGAAAAGTGGTCCCCCCTCCTCTTCTCCCCTAAGCGCAGCAGAAATAGCTGGGGAGGTGTCTCGATTTTCGGGCTTCTGATTTCTTTTCTTTTACAGCTTGACTTCTGCTGTTTTGCAGCCTTCCCTGCTTTGCTAGGAAGGAAAAAAGAGGGGGTAAATGGGGGGGGGGGGGGGGGGTGTAGCTATATAGCCCCAGCGCGGCAGCTTGCTGGAGCAATGAGTTGTACTCTGTGTTGCCGGAGTCGGCCGGTGGCTTCGGGCTTGCTTCGGAAATCGCTGATGTGTCAATTCTGCAGCTGACGGCAGTGCAGACCTTTTGGTAGAAAGAAGGGGGGGAGGGGGGGTGAGAGAGAGAGAGAGAGGCAAGAAGGAAGGCTGTATGCCTGGTGAGATAGGAATGTTGTCCCCCCCCTCCCCCGAGGTACGAAGTTCTCTGACGACGCAAAGGCATTTGGGAGTTGAGCTTCGCCTGCTGTCTGCTGTTTTTTTTTCTTGGTCTTTCTATTTAACATTGACAAAATTGTAAATAGGAGGGGGGGGGGGGGGGTCTATGGGAGAGGTTATAGAAAGGTGACAACAGAGAATTCGTAGGCGAAAATTGAGTTCTTAGTTTCGTTCGCGTGCTGTTCAAAAGCTTTGTAGTTATGAGTGATGCGTCCCTGCTATGAACTCTTTCTTTATAGGGAGGGGAAGCGATGACCTTGGGGGGGGGGGGGGGGGGGGGGGGGCTCCGCAAAATTTGTGGACGGGACATGTAATGTTTGTTTCCACAATCTTTGCACAGGCCGAATAATTTAGAAGAGACTTGACAAGGTTAGAATACTGATTATTTCGAGAACTATTTTCGCCATGATATAGGATTAATTGATAGAAATTGCCTACTTGATACGTTTATTTTTGTGATTTATCCTATGTTTGCTGAGGTTTGTAACGTAGTACTATGATAGACCACTCTACCTTCGAACGTAGTAGAAGACTTGACATCCGCTGATTGATTGACGTAACTTGGTACCGTTGGTAAAAGGCAATACAATAAACATATACACATTTTGTACGTTTATGAAATCAAAAGAACCCTTAATGCTTTGTTTTAGTATACCTTCAATACAAAAAAGTATACTCATAATATATTATTTTGTGTACTTCGCATGTTAGCGGCGCGCTCCGCGCGTCGATCCAGTTATGCAACTATACTATTAGGAAACTAAAAATGTGTTTTAAGTGTAGTTTGCAAAGTGCTTAATAGAAGTACAAAATTATATATGTAGTGTATTACTGACTTTGTCCACGAAATGAATTTTGTCTTCTACAGCAAGAAAATAATGCCATTGTTCCTGGTTACTACCGTTCTTTTCATCATATAAGTCATACCACATAAACGAATTAGAAAAGGGCATCGGTAAAAGAGCAATAAATACTTATTTATTAATGTTTCTTTTCCAGCATATACAACGAACACACGATGGGAGTTTCCGAATAATGATTGCGAAGGTTGCATCTATGTGAATTTGTTTTTCCTGAACAAATACAATAAGCACCCGCTGAAACGTAAAACACGATAAAAAATTTAAAAAAAATGTCGAAGTGCGTTGTTGTTCATTGTTGAAGTGTAGGAAGTGTTCAAATTCCGCCTAACGTCAAGCTGAATCTACCCTATTCCAGGCGTGCTTCCTATAAAATATTCTGGGATGTTACTAGACTATTTATAACGCAAGAGTTGAAATGCTCACTAAGGAAACAATACAAACAACATTGGCATGCCACAAGCTTGATAATCCAGGTCCGGCTATGGTTAAAAAAAAAATAAAAACCACCAAAAGCTAGATTACTCTAAACAAACACACAACGAAAGTGACTTTCACAGCACGCATTTCAATTTTTGATCATTCGCTACATAAATTTAAAAGAAGATTATGACAGCGATTCAGGATGTTCACATTTGCAAACAAAACATTGAACAAAATGCAGACAGTCGAGATGTACAATGTCGCACATGGCACTTGCTCGTTCGACATGAAACAAAATAACTTAAACGATGTTCGTAATGGTGCTTTGGAAGCGAGAGATGATACATTTCATTTGTTTAATGGCAATACTTTCTTCTCTTTTTTTTCACTTTTCACACGCACATTGAGTGGAAATAGTGGGCGTTCTAGTTAATATAAGTCTGGCCGCATTTGGCGCGCCAGCGCTAATGGACTCGCTCATTTCCCTATGTCTCACGGGTAAACATTGTTGATCGTCGTGAATTTATAACAAAGTGATGCTTAATAGGCGTCTGCAAAAGCATCCCATCGTCTTAAAAATAAAAAAACTAGGTTTTTTTACTTTTTAAAAGTTCTTAGAAAATAATAAATTCGCGTATCTATATAAAAAAAGTTAATATAGTTATTGACACGTCAAGAAACGCAGAACCTGGCGAGTTCTTAGCGGTTTATTGACGCTCCCTAGCCAATGAGACTGTGAGATTGGTTGATAAGAATGTCGAAAGCAGCCAATCACGAAGCAATAAAAGCGTGAACCGCGCCCTCTATTTCTTAAGCTGTTCGTCATTGTACTTCACGTTGTTTTCATGACATTAACATGACTCAACGCAATACGGAATCACACATTTCAGTGGGTATGGAATTTGTAAATACATAATACGCGCAAAATAAATCATTTTCGTTCGAAAAAATTTACTCTGGGAATTGGAAACAATGCTGCATGGTGCTTATGTTATGCGCGAAAGTTGAAAATTACTCGAGCTCTATGCATATCCAGTTCCTAATAACATTTTAGGCTCCTAATTTTTGTTTTCTGTTAACATCTTCAACAGTCGTTGTCTGTTTTATAACAAAACGCACGAGGTGATGTGGTAACATTGATAAAAAAGTAATGACGGGTGACCGGAAAGGTGTGTAATTGTTATCTACAGAATCAAACGCAGTAACGTGTAGACTAGGAAGTATTATTTCCTACTCGTTGTTGTGGTGACCTCACGTCCTCGTCGTAGTAGTTACAGATAAAAGCTGTGAGAGAAATGAGGTCGGAATACCAACTACAAAAATAAACAGGTGTCGCGATTTTTGTTCTACCGACAGAATACTTTCTATAGGCTTTGCGAGGACACAGCCCTACAAAGCACCACGACTCAAAATCAAGTTTAGGGCAACAAAAAAAAAAAAAAGTGAAAGCATTGCCAAAACACACAGGAAGCTGTACAGAAAGTATCCATAATAAGTTAACATGCGTCCGAGTATTGCGAAGCGATGGCTAGTCTTGGCTTAGCTTTTGCCTAAAACGAAAACGTTTGCCAGTCGGGCAGCATAGTAGCTTGCCGGCTGTCTAGCGTGAAACTGACCCCCACTTTGTTCAGGCACAAATAGACAATACACGGGTGCAAGCTCAATTCAATGTTCTACGCGAGAAGTCCAAAAGAGCACTAAGAAAGTGATATTGCAACCACGCGCACACACAGTTCGTAATAAAACGAAGACGTCATTCGGTTTTTTTTTTTGGCTCCACGTTTGTCTGCATACCGCGTTCTGCAAACGTATACGTCAGCAACAATGTGTATGCGCGTGCGCATGCTTTAGGAACTGTAACGTCCCGCGTTGGTGGCTCGAAGCGTTGGTGGCTTTCGAGCGTATAAGATTCTCTTTCCATTCAAACTGTACTCTTTTCTCACCTAGCAAAAGGCACTCTGTCGTCGGAAAGGCCGAAACACGCCTCGCCTTTGAAGCACGCTCCACGCACAGTTTGGTCGTTCAGGCAACTGCGGTTCGCAAGCCCTAAATATTGAAGTTCCAATATCACAAGTTGTCTTAATGCGTTTTCCTCGTCGCCGAATGCACAAGCAAACCTCAACGTTCCCGCGCCGTCTTTTTCCACTAAAGCTGCCGACTCGGCCGGATCTTTTATGACGTCAAAGTCACCGAGGTTGGAACATCCCAGACTCAGAACCGGGCACGTCGCTTGGGCCGTTGAATCCCGGATGGTCCCCCAAACTGGACCAATGCCACCGCTGACTTGCCGCGCTACCACACACTGTGTGTGCGGGAAGCACTCATCAAGAGATCATCTCGACCAGTTAGTGTCCCTACTTCCGTCCACACACGCACACACACACGCACACACACACGTCCGAAGAGCGCGCGACACCCCAAGACTTCTTTCAGAGACAGGTGTGCACAGTACGCCGGATCTTGCACACTTTACACTTGACCTGGCAACACCAATGAAACGTACAGGCGCACCTCTCGAGGTCCTCGCGGACCTCGGTGCGATGTCCCCGGCCGCAGCACATTGACTCGCAGCCGTCCACGCCCGGAGACGACTCGTTGCAATGGCGTCCCCGCGTGCCCTGGACTCCCAGCCGCGAGTTGGGTACGCAGAAGTCCGGTGAGTTCTCGAAGTAGACCAGGTCTTTCCTGGTCGGCGGCTTGTGGTCCGGATAGAGGGGCTTCAGCTGGAAGGACCTGGCGTGTCCCTTGCGCCGCCTGCTCCGGAAGCCTCTGAAGTTGCCCTGGTTGCTGACCAGGACCTTGGAGGCGCCATCGAAGCGTTCCTTGAGCTGGTTGCCCACGTCCCGGAAGGAAGGCAAGCGCATCCAGCATGTCTTGACGGTGCAGCTACCGGACATGCCGTGGCACTTGCACTCCCTCCTCGTTTCCGTGGTCACCTGCTGAGGGGCGGGAATTCCGACTGGACGTTAGGGTCGCTCTTCGACGTCCATCGTGCGAAATAGCGATTGCGGATTACATACAGCGAGGCAAAGAATGGCGATTCACTGAGCTCTGAACACACGTGCGACTTCTGACATTACCCAAACGAGAGCGCATGCTCAGAACGAGTCCGACACTCCAGCAGACGAAGATGGCAGCGCACAGAAAACGGGTAGTTGAACGGTCTGCAGGAACACGCGGATAGTCCACGAAAGCCCCAAAGATGATTTGTCTATTGGACAAAGTCAACCATTTTCGACTATACACGTGCGCAAGCATTTCATTCGATGCGTGGACAGGGACTTGGTGCCACGTACAGAGAGTGTTCACTAGGCGCCATATTTGTGCGCACCGTTCACCGGGCATGCTCTCAGAACGAGCTCACACTTCTTGGTTCCCAGGACGGGCAACCTTGATGGCATGGAATGCACGTTGCAAGAACATCGAGGAAGCTCGCCGTCAGCACGCTCTGTGCAGCTATGCACTCAGTTATGGCGGCTGTATTACACTTTATGCGTCGAGAAACTGAAAGAGAGAGAGAGAGAGAGACGGTGACGAAAGTGCGTGGTATCGTCAGAACGCGGCGCTCTAGTTTTAATGATGAGTGGGTAGACCTAAAACTACATAGCTGCCTTTGTCTCCACTGTGCTCGTCCAACGTGTTAGGACGCAGAACGCTGGCGTCTGGCGTTTGGCTTTCGCATTCGACAAGTGAAGTTGGAGACAAAGGAAGCTAGCTATAGGTCCCTACCCACTTCTCTCTCTCAGTTTCTCGGCACTGTTCGTAGCTTATGTTTACGAGTCATGCTTCGTGGTTCGTACTTCTGCGTTCTTATCGACTAATGGAGCAGTCTCATTGGCTACGGATTGATAATAAGTTGCTCGGGATTTGTGCTAAGCGCGGCGCGCTCAGTTGAGAACACGATAATGTTCTCATCTCATTGGTGTCGTACGCTATTTCCTTGTCGTCTTCCGAAATTCAAACGCATAAGCAGTGCACGAACGTGGACAACGCATAATGCGGGAAAATTCGAACAATTATACACTCTAAAAAATGCCTGCGCGTCCACTTACCCGCAAAACACTCAAAGAGCCAATATCTGCGATCTACGAAATCACCTCAGCGAATAATGAGACGGAGCATCTGTTTAGACCTAAAAATTAAGTCTGCGCTGTAGCATTACGCAATGCAAAACGTCATGCTTGCATTGCGTAATGCCACAGCGCAGACTTAATTTTTGAGGTCTAAACAGATGTTCCGCCTCCGCATTCGCTGAGCTGATTTCGTAGATCGCAGAGATTGGCTCTTTGAGTGTTTTGCGGGTAAGTGGACGCGCAGGCATTTTTTAGAGTGTACAACGCGTCAGACAGACGTTAGACAGCTGCAGATTGTAGGGCCAAAATTATATTCGGACGATTGGTCCGTAGGTTTTGACAATCACAGAGTATACCTGGTATCCTATAAATCTGACTCCCAGTCACAGATGACTGTTATTCGCAATTTATGTGGCGTAACATAATGAGATCTGTGTTCTAAACATGGCCGTCTTTGCTTGTCAAAGCCTTTCTTCTTTTCTGTGGCCTCGGTGACTTCGATGCAAAATGCTGGTCTACGAGTTCCCACTTTGAGGTTTCGAACTTCGAACCCCTTTGGGGTGCCCTAAATTTTACGGAGGCCTATTGCAGTGGTGTAGCTAAAAGGTCCTCCAAAATGGTCCTCCGTTCTATGCCGGGACGTCCCGATGCTCATTGATTTTAGTACATATATGCCCGAAAACTTCATTTGCTCGACCTAGTAATAACTCAAACTGGCATGGCAGAGTAGTTGAGGCTTGCCTGCATTAGCATCAATCTGTCTGCTGTGAAGTGTCTGTATATCTTAATATACCCAGAGAAGTCTAAGTTAAGTAACCTTTTAGCAGACCCATTTTTCGTCTTTCTTGTACGCTGTCTTTTCTCTGAGAGACATAGTCACCTGCCCGCGCCCATTATCATTCTTCCAAATAAATAAATAAAATAAAATAGAAAGAAGTCTCGCTTCGACTTTCCATAAGATGTGATAGCAATTCATGGGAGGGAAATTTCATGGGAAACTGACATCACATGACTTGTCACGTGGCACGCTGAAGTAACATTAGGTAACGTGTCATTGCGACGTCGCGTGGTCAGACCAACACGAGCAATGACGGCCCGCCGGGGGATCCCTTATAAAGCCGTCGCTTGAAAAGAAAAATCATACAAAGCTATTAGCAACAATACTTGTCGTCGAGTACAAGGCGACTCACGCAATGTCGACCTCCTCCGAAGGCACGAAGCTTCTTAAAATAACGACACGAAATTCCACCCGAATAAAAGAGTAACTCGTGTCGGGTCCCATACCTGTGGCTAACTCACGTAAGATAAAAAAAATAAATGAAGTCAAGCGGAGGCAAAGGGGCTTTCTCTTTCCCCGAGCAGAAGACCATAGTCAGCCGAGCCCACCGGGGGGTCAGCGCGTAAAAGGGAAAGGGGAAGAACCGGGAGCAAGAATTCGGTGACACTTTGAGTTATGGGCCTGCGGCCGGCCAGGCGTCTCTCGGCGGGTCCGCGGGGGTCCCAGCGGCGAAACGCTGGCCACGGGAAGCGTCCCGCTGCTTCCGAAACTCAATCCGTGATTCTTCATGTCCCCCCGGCGCAAGGAGGCAGATAAAAGCCCCCCATTTGGACGGAAACCCGCTGGGACGCTTGACCCGTCTCCGGGGTGGCGCTGGCGTCGCGGTTCCTCCCTCAAAGAGGCCTAGATTACGGAGTGCTTCCAGCTGCTCGATATTGGGGGTCACGTGGTTAATGGACGGCGTTTGCAGCACGAGGAGGTGGCACCTCCTCCTATCCACTCGCTGTTCTCCTCGCCACCCGACAACATGGCGCGTGCGTACTTGCGACCAATTTCCGCTAAAGGTGGTCCGCCATTAAATTGCAAACGCTCGCCATGGTTTCAGTTGCTTTCTCTCTTGAATCAAGGCTTTCCATTCCTTCCGTGTTCCTTCACCCTCGCTCCCCTACCCTCCCCCCCCCCCCCCCCAAAAAAAAAAAAAATGTTGGATTTTTAAAATTTGGATGTTGTGTGGCTGGGTTTGTTGCGTTCTTCCACTTTGACGCGTCTGTTTTAACGTGTGGAGTTGGCGGAGCTTTTGCGTACCTCACATCGCACGTAAAAATATGCGGAACTATTGCAGGTGTCTCGGTCGCCTCCTTTGATTATGCTATGGGAAAACCCCTCGGAGCACAGGTATCTTCTATTTGATGAACCGTTATTTAGTTTTTTTGGTTTTGTTGTTTGTTGTACCTGAGATATAAGGGGATAGATGCCAGAACGTATGAAACAATACGATAAAATATAAATTCGCGATGTGGGTCTATTCCTGCGAAGCAGCTGGAAGTTCTTCTCTATGCTTCAAATATTCTACGTTGTAAATTGAGCTCTATGAATAATAAACAGTCGTGATCCAGACGCTTTTAACTTAAAATTTAAATGGGAAAACCTAGATTTAACCGAAGAAGTGTGCGCGGAAGCGGGACGTTATCTTTTCACATTCACCGTGAAGGCTTGACTCCAGCTAAAAATATAAACCTTTCTAAAATGATTTCCTTGATAAACATTCCAAAACTTGCGAAAATTAACTAAGCCATTCGTAAGGCTATATAAATTCTTATAACATGGTATACACGTTATAGTCTGTTTATTAGACCGATGAATACAATTCATTTCTACTGGGGTTTTCACTTCCAGGCAGTTTTCAAAACCAGAGCCCCAATTTGAATTTTGTAACAGGCCCCTTTAATAATGTTTAGCGTTTTTGTGAGATGTGGAAAATAAAAATATTGAATGTCAAATAAAAAAAGAAACTTAACGAAACTTAAAAGTCTATTTACTCTTAGCTGGTTTTCAACTTCTGTAGTTCTAGGTTTGTATTTTTCATGGTGTTCGCTGGTAAACCATTGCCCACTACTGGCAAAATCTTTGCTGGGTGGTTTCATTTCGAATAGAACAGGGGCCTGGGGGTGGGTATCTTTTATTTGTTTGAAAAACATTTATATTTTAACACCCTTTCAACTATAACAAGATCACATTTAATTTTTTTTAAGTATTTGTTTTTCTACAAAAATTGTGGAGTGGAGCAGGGTGAAATGAGAATTTATGCTGCTTGATGTTTGCACCTAGTTATTATAAATAGGTAAAAACGAACACACTTACAATAATTTTTCTTGTAAATGTATGACGGATGGTCTATTTCGTCCTCTAAGCTAAATCACATTAACGTATTTAATGACAGAAAAAAAAAGAAGCCAAACGTCGCATCTTTGACGTTTTTGTGGCATATTTAAAGCCTTGTATTTAAGAAGTCATTATATATTTTACTTATTACATACTATATGCCTATAGGCCTATATATGTTCTATCGACTGGTACCACTTTAGATTAATTTGTTGGAGCAAAATAATTTATATAAATTTCAAAATTCCATTAAAAAGTAAATTTAGCCCATAATTTGAGCGTTGTGTTGTGTTCGTCCCCTTTTGTGTTCCTGAGTCTCGGGTTTTATTACCATGAATCATCACCAGCTCGATTGTTTTTAAAGTATTATTGCAATTTGAGCCCACATTATTGAAAAGTTTTTTTTTATTATTCTTTACTATTGTACCCAATGATAATAACGTTTTGTGCGCAGAGTCGTTTTTTTATTTTTTATTGCGTTTTCTGTAAAAGCACCTACACACGCATACATGCACCCGAATTGGTAAAAGGATAGTTTCGCAAGTTGGTTTTACTGCCATGTTTTTTAGCCTTAAATGCCAAGGGCAGGGGGGTTGGAGCTGCTTGGAAGGTGAAGAGGCGACGGAGAGAGTGAGCTAGAAATGTATTTATTTTTAAGTATCGCTTGCCTCGGCCGAGGCTCCAAATAAGGCACCAAAACGTCAAAGATGCAATGTTTGGCTTTTTTTCTTCTTAATTTTTGGTATTAAATGTGTTAATCAGGTTTTGTTTAAAGGAAACAAATAGTCTATGTGTAATATATTTAAAAAAAACTGTGAGTGTTTTCATTCTTATTCAATTATAAAAGCTGACAGAACTGGGAACAAAAAATAAGCATCCTCACCTAGATCCACTTCAGAAGTTTTGTGGAGAAAAATAATCAATGAAAGAAAGGGGTTTTATTCATTCCAAAAATGGGGTTATAGTATAACTGAAATAATACTTAAAAAACAAGCGAGCTGGTGATGATTCATGGTAATAAAACCCGAGACTCAGGAACACAGAAGGGGACGAAGTATATCATCTTTTTGAGTCGATCACGCGTGCTCGATTTCAAAAGAAATCACCCTGCTGTGTCTGTGGTGACATAATTGAAACGTTAAACTTAAAAACCTTTAAAAAAATAAAAAGGGGGGGGGTTGATTGGTTTTATTTTTAGTGTTTGTGCATATAGTATCTCAAAACCTTTCAAGAAAAAAAAAAAAAAAAAAGGGTCTTTTGGCCGGTTTTATTTTTAGTGTTCGTGCATATGGCGCGTAATTTGCTCGCTTCCCGAAGCGGCGAACATGCGCGTGCTTGGCTGAGGAGATCGCACGCTGGGCTGAGGACTCGTAAGTATCGGAAGGGTGCAATTCATTGCATCACAACGTCAAATACCTGGAACCAATATTCCGTGCATATATGCTACAACTCTGCATCACTATATCTTTATATTTTCGTTATGCGAGTCTTCACTCGAAAACGGCTCAGACCTTTCGGAAGTTTTATTGAAGCGAATTTTCGGGGTTGCCTACAAAATAAGCGAGACAGGCAACTCTGGCTGTGTGGGGATTGGTGTTTGTTTCCATCCACCCGGGCAGGAATCGTATGTTTGTCTTTTTAAATCTAGATTAGGTGGCGCAGGCTACCGCCCCTTACAAAGGGTATAGCCATTAACATCCGTTCATTCATCCATCCATCCATCCGGTGGTCGAGTGTGTTAGCGCACCGCAGCTCGGGAGCCCGTGGAGCGATAGCTTGCGCTGCAGAACCAAAGAGGTTTAGGGTTTAATCCCCCATGCCTTGTCCGTTTCAATCTGGGTTGTCATCGTACCGGCGTGCGGTCGTGTATACTACAACTGCGTGATTCACTTAAAGGGATGCTGAACCGAAATTTGGAGCTCCCAAAACGATGCTGGAGCAATAGGCAAGACGCTGAAAAAAAAAAATCGATCATACAGCGATATCTCTGACAGATAACCGCATTTTTGGAGAAAAACGAGGCCGACCAGACACGTGACTTTGCGATTCTCGCGCCCTCTCCTCTTCGGGGTTCGTCTACATGAGCAGGTTAATCGAAGCGAAAAGGAGAGAAGCGAGGCCGCTTCCCCTGATTCTCAACTGTTCGAAGAGAATCGTGACATCCCATTCCGCGTTTGATCGCGCCCTTCTTCTTTACGAAAATACGGCCATCCGTTGGAGATATCGATGTACGAGAGATGACTTTGGAGCTCGTCGCGTCCCATTCAACGCTCTCGCGGCCTCGTTTCGCGAAATCCAAATTCGGACCTCATGGCTAGCGGTGCGTGCTGTCCCGGCTGAATGTCTCATCTACAGCGGAGCGAGCAGACGCCCGCATAGCACTGACAAACTTCACGCTGTCTAAGGAAACACGCAAACCAATTACTTTACCCCTGACTCAAACGTCCGTCACCGTTATTAATTATTAGTGACGTCATCGTGGAGTGTCCACTAACCAGGCGCCCCGCCTCGTTGTTGTGGAGGTTGATGACGAAGCGCAGGTCTCGGCCCCTCTCGGCGGCGTCCACGAAGGCCCTGGCGAACTTGTAGCCGAAGTGGACGTTGTCCGAGCAGCCTCCCCACTCCCAGTCGAGGCCCGACGGCCCGCGCTGTCGGTAGTCGCACGTGCACGTGTCGATGGCGCCCTCGCTGCATGCCCGCGAAACCGCGTGCGCCACCCCCGCGCTCGTGATGGCGTACACGAACGCAGTCTCGCGGCAACCTGCATCGGGGCGGAGAACGGGAAAGGGGGTTATGACTGAGCACGAACCCGCCTGGGCCAAACACTTCGCCTAGGTGAGAATAAGGAGAATAGGGCTTCTATTTCCTTTTAGGGGTAATGCAAGAAGGGGGAAAACCAGGACTAAGAGCTGTTGTTGCATGCTTGACGACATCCTGGCGCTCTGGTACACTTCAGTGGAAAAACAGCAGGGTAAACAAAGACAAGAAAAAAATAAATCATAAGTCATCCCCAAGCGTCTTTGCCTTTTTGGGTACACAACACGAATTTATAACGTTTACAAACGCGTGCGCCACACCAGCTCAAACGCGACCGGGTATACTGGCCGTACAATGTCGCCTTCCTGTCTCAACTCATGCGGACACCTAAGAGAGTCTTCTGCCTGATGTAAAATAAAAGATGTATTGAGGTAAACGTGTTGCAAAAGAACAAGTACTAGTAGAAGGAAAAGGGCAGGACAAGCACTGACTAACTAGTCACGTTTAATGTCCTCTCTTTCAACTATATTCCTTGCCCTTTTGTGCCTCGTTTATTCAAATACGTCTAACCAACTAGCCCGTCAGTTGGTTTTGATAGAAACTGTACACATCGGTCTTAACCAGCCTGCAGTTCACCTTAAGTGTAACTAAGCCTTCATGAAAGATGCACTATGAAATCACTAGGTAAGCCATCTCCAGGTTGCTATGTTCAGAAACAAGACGACGTGCATGTACAACAAACACCACAGGAAGGACCCAACATCACATCCGGCCATTAAACCCAACGACACTCGTGTCGGTATAGGTGGGACACTGTCAAGGGCAGAAGGCCCCTCTACCTCCGTTCCACTTGTGGGACTAACGCGGCAGGTCTGTACCAGGCGCAGACAAGACCTCTATTATACCGACTCGTCTTGGAAGCTCGCCCCACGTGGTCAACTTTTCGCGAACGTACGCATGTACACCCGCAGTTCGCAGGTAGCACTACGCATATACTTCTCTCGGGAGAGTCGCGGAGGAAGACCGGAGTTTGCGCTAAGGGCGTCGCCCTAGACAATCCGCGTGTGTGTGTGTGTGCTCTAGGGGTGGATGATATGTCTGCGGATGACGCGGCTTCGGCGCGCGGTTCAGTTCCTCTGGGCATCGCCAGCGGGGACCTGCCCTTTGAGTGCGCACCTGTTTGCGAGTGCCCCTTACATATATACGACACCGGTGGGACAGGCGAAATCCGGGAAACCCGGGGAATGTGGGAGATTCTTGAGCGAGTTTGGAGTTTGGGTGGATGCGCAGCAGCTTTCAAAGAGCGGTCGCGACTCCCGCGGAGTCACCTGTATACGCGCTGCGCTGCGCGTGAGCCTTGTTAATTCTGGATACGTGTTCGCAAGATAGTAACGTAAAGTTTGCGTTTAAGTATATGTCGTAACCTCTACGAATAAAGTGCCTGCGATAAGCGCGAGCTTGTTACCCTCCACCGGGCTTTGGCTCCGTTGTGCGTAAGTACTACCCACGGTGTAGTACTACCAAAGGCAAAAAGCTCGCGCATCATGCTTAACCCATCAATGACCACAGACCTTCCCAAAAAGGGCTCCTGGTCGCTTCCATTTTCAGTGTTCGCGCGTATGGCGCATGATTTTCTCGATTACCGAAGCGACGAACATGGGCGTGCTGGGCTGAGGAAATCGCACGTTGGTATGAGGACTTGTAAATATTGGAATGGTGTATAGACGCATGGACACTGAAAATGGGACCAACCAGGAGCCCTTTTATTTTGGAAAGATCTATATACGATCGCAAGCAGGGCATCTGGCCGCCGCCATGTCTCTGCTCGTGAGGGCAAGTAAGGTGCAATTACAAGCTTGTCCGAGCTACGTTCACGCACACGCTGCACATGCTCCGGGTGTACGTGCGTACGTTCGCGAAAGGTTGACCACGCGGGGGGCCTCACTGGTGCCCCACCAGTGAGGCGCCATGTTTGCAGTTGTCTATAGATACATTTTATGTATCGTGGATTGACCTGATGAGTCAGTTTTTAGGAAGTCAAAAGGCGGCGAAGAGCAGCACAATAAACCGAAAGACTCCATTTTTTTTTCTCTTTTTTAGCCATACGTACTTTGCCATGTATTGTGATTGTCGTCACTTCCTAAAGACAATGCGAAATAGCAACAAACTTCTAGGCTGCTCTCTCCCAGAAGACTACTTGTGTTTCAACCTTTTCCTAGAGTCATTGACTACCTAAGAGCAAAAAGGCGCATTTTTCTGCCGCTTCGCGATAGGTGGCGGACTGTTCGTATTAATTGACGTTGCGATCTGGTAGGCTTCTCAGTTGTAATAGGATAACTAGGTCTGATCAGCTCGTATCCCAAATTACTCTTTAAGATTTCTTGTCAGCATATACAGATACTCACTCACAGTACGAGGCCCTATACAGTTAGTAGCACGTACGACCAATCGTTGGACAATATGTTCTTTTTTCTTTCGCCACTAATGTATACATTGCCGTCAAAGGCTCTATAGTGTGACGGTATTCAGTCCACCAACTGTAAGCTTTTGATGATCATCACTGCTTATGTATACGCATGCTGTGTGTGTGTTCATCAACGAGGTAGAGAGGCTTGGAGCGATAAACTGGCAGCTGAAAGTAAACTCCAATCGGCCGACGCCATGTTGCGCATTTATGACCACTAGACACGTGACCTTATAGTTTTAGGTCTAGATTTTAACGAAGAACCATCACGTGTCTAGTGGTCGAAATTCTACAACATGGTGGCAGCCTGGGGGCACTCTTGCTTGGAGAACTGTTTATCGCTCTAACCCCTCTATCTCGTTGGTGTTAATGCACTTTTGACGACCATCACTGCAGCTTCATGCTGTGTGTCTGTGTGCTCATAAACTGTTGTCAGCGTTGTTTTTCTTTCAGTGTGCCGAAGTCAGTTTTCAATTGTTAACCTGATTCTACGTTTTATTATCGACCACGTAAATAATGACGTCACAACATGGAGCTCTGCTCCAAACAAACGGATAGGCCGTTGTTTAAACAGATGCTTGGGCGCTCAACGCAAGGTTAAACATTGTCTGATAAAAAAAATAAAAAAATTGTGAACATTGTGTTTTCTCAGTATCTAATCATGCATGCTTCTTCAATCGTCTCATTAACATGAAGCGATGACAAAAGCCCGTAATAAAGTTTCCCTATCGCTTTTGCTTTGCTACAAGCTCCGCCTTCAGCGCGAGCTTACTGGCTTCCACTATGCTTTGGTTGTGCGTGCATGCACTTTCACACTTGTGTCAGCAAGGGCAGAAAGCTCGTGCTGAAGGCGGAGCTGCTAGTCTCAGCTTAATGGTGAACGGAGTAGGTATAGCAGACGACATGATGGCTTCGCGGCTTCAGTGGTTCTTTCTGATGGAGTACGCGACTGCATTCAATGAAGTTGTTGACGATCGACGAAACTTCTATTCTCGGGGTGAACGCTCTGGGGGATGTCGGAAGCAAAGAGTGCCCGTACATTGATTGACGCTCCAGGTGCGTGAGCGCGCGAACGCCTTCCCGTGGAGCTCGCTTCCGCAATATTTGAGAAGGTGAAAACACTGTGAAGCCGAATTACGTACGACGGCGACGTGAACTGTCTCAAGGTCGACGTGCAGGCCAGCACACGTTTCGAGGATTTCTGACAGCTCAGTCGCTTCAGTGCACATTTGTGTGATCAAGCGAACTCTCCGTAACACAAACACACACACGCGCACACACACACGTACACACGCCCGCACGCACGCACGCACGCACACACGCACACACACGTATATGACTTACCTCATGTTATTATTCAACTCCTTCGCTATTTGGATATATGGGGCCTGATTTAAAACTGTAGAATCAGTAGAATTTTTTTTTTCTCAGTGTGATGGTTTCAAGCAGGTACAAAACGCACACTCATATTGAGAGCCTGAAAAACCAAGTTCGGGGTCCCAAACCGCTCATGTTAGAGTCAAAATAATTGCCCCTTCATTACGACCGCACGTCCGCTGTAAAATAAACAAAAAAAAAGGAGACCCGACGCTGCTTCAATATTGTCGCGAAATCGTGCTCGCGCGAGTGTTTTGTCTAGCTTCACTTTATCTGACAGTTCGTTCATCTCCACGGAACGGCTCATGATATTCTACCGGAGTGGGGGAGTGTGTGTGTGTGGGGGGGGGGGGGGGGGGGGGGAGGGGGGCGGCAAATGGGGGCGAACGTGAATGAGTAACGCTACACTTAGTTTCTAGAACCCCGCGTCGAGATGTTTTGATTTATGAATGCGTGCTTTTGGGATCTCTACTTCGGAGGTGGTTTTCTCCGTGTATAACTACTCTTCCTTCATACGTGCTCTGCCTTGTTTTAACGCCTCTTGATTGGTCCTTCCAAAACTTTCTGATTGGTGAACTGGAGGGCTCCAGAATGCTGCTGAATCCGATATAAGCAGCCGCCAAGGGCCCAGAGGACTTGGCTTTCGGATCCCAAGCTCTAGACATCTCCCTGCCTCTGGAAAACCAACCTGTACGTCCGACACCCTTCGGCTGTGGAGTCTTCCGCCGCTAACTTGCAAACTTGGGACCCCTTACGGCTGTGGAGGAGTTCGGCTCGCCCGCCTTTGTGTGGAACCTTGTTTGTCAAGTTTGGCTGTGGTCGGGGCACCCGCTGAAGGTGGGGTCGAAGAGGACGGCAGAGGTCACCAGAGGTTAGGAGTAGTATCCCCAAAAATTTAGTCTCACATTATATAATGTGCACAGTGATGTAAAAGGGTAACTTGCCTATATTTCATTAAATAAAAAGTTGCGTTCGTTACAAACATAATCGTCATCGACGGAGAAAAGAATTTCTATTTTTCTCCACGACGATATCATGTTCTAAACAGACGCTTTACCCGCTGTATTTTTAGCAGGTCCCTATGCGTGTGACGATGTACAGTGTACTCAACTGTTAAACATAACGCGGGAGCGGTGACCGGAGAGACTCCATGCGCCATCTAC